ATTACCATTATCCTTTTCTAATTGTTCTGTTTATTTATTGTGTTCCAGAATCTGTTCTTGACCAACTCAGAATGTCTTCAGTACTTCTCACATGCCCACTATGCTCCCAACCAGGTTTCCAAACAATTGATTCATTATGCTATGGGCTCATCAGTGCTGCCACCCGTCAAGTTGTGTGTCCTGTGTGCCATGATATTCTGTTTGGTCTTGATAAGTTTACAATTCATCTCTTTAGCCATTCAGTACAACACCAGAATGAGGAAAATCACAGCATCCTACCCACTCATGTATCTTCTACCAGCAGTACCACAGTATCGCTAAAGCAGCAGGATTCCTTACCTTCACAAACTAACAATCCACTGAAATGTACTAAAGCAGATTTCAACACTAAAGTAAAAAATATGAAAGAATTACCTTTTCCACATGACCACACTAACATCCCCTGTTGTAGAAACCAGCAAACTGCACCAGGATCATCAGCATATTGTACCAAGGAAATGAAAATTGAAGGTAAACTAAGAATGGAAAACGTTGATGATAAACAGAGTTATAATATTGTTTCTGACATTGATGAAGCAACAAAGAAGCCTGAGATAAATGCAATTTGGGAAAAACAGTTAAGTAATAATAAATCAAATTATGAATACAGTATTGTTGATCAAAGCAGCAATTTTATTCTGCATTCATATACACAAAGTAATACTGAATCAGTTACAGTGGAGACTACAAATAAATCTTCACAGACAGTCTCAGGATGTCTGGAAACACCACAATCACCAATAATCAGAAATATTTCTTCTTCATTGGGTAGTAAGCCAATGTATCATCCATATCACTGCAGTTCTGGAAACATACCAAAAACAACACAGGAAAACTGTTCAGTCCAGTGTGCAGCTTTGCCATCTGTACCGCCACCATTACAAGAAAAACGGACACCACTTTCACCCACAGATAAAGAAATTACGGAAATTATAAGATGTGATATTTGTGGTTTTTCATTTGAAGATTCATCAATATTAGCAATACATCACCAGTTAGTACACTGTGTGGAAAGTGGCAGTGAAACACCAAATCACAGAATACAAGCTTCAAATGGAACCAAACAAGGTTGGACTTTAGATGAGAAACATCCATTTCCATGTCATCTCTGTTCAAAGGCATTCAAGATGCGTGGAAGCTTAATGGTTCATTTGAGAGTTGCCCATAGCAGTGGTATAGTATCAGGTAAGTTACATGTGTATGAGTAGCAGATAGCTTTGTTTCATACTTTGTACACTGCCTGTAG